CCTGCAACCCTTCTTCATGTTTTAGTCTCCAGTCCCCTAATCATCCTGGTTGCTCTTCTCTGCACTTTTTCTACAGTCTCAACATCTTTTTTATAATGTGGTGAACAAAACTGGATGCAGTACTCTAGGTGTGGTCTTACTAAGGCTTTATAGAGTGGTATTAGTACCTCACTTGATCTCAATTGTATTACTCTGTTAATGCAATTTAGGATTGCATTAGCTTTTTTGGCTGCTGCTGCACACTACTGGCTCATATTTAGTTGGTTGTCCACTAAGACTCCAAGATCCCTCTCACAGTTACTGCTATTGAGTCTGGTTTCACCCAGTCTATATGTGTACTTTTGGTTTTTCTTGCCTAAATGTAGGACTTTACTTTTCTCTATATTGAATTTAATTTTGTTAGATACGGCCCAGTGTTCTTAGTCTGTCAAGATCCATCTGGATCTTGAGCCTATCTTCTTGAGTGTTAGCTATTCCCGCCAGCTTAGTATCATCTGCAAATTTGGTAAGTTCCCCTTCTATCCCCTCATCTAAGTCGTTAATGAAGATATTGAAGGGTACTGGGCCTAAGACAGAACCTTGTGGCACCCCACTGCTTACTTCCCTCCATGTAGACTTAGATCCATTTAGGGCTACTTGCTGAGTAGTCCTAAATGGATCTAAGTCTACATATCAAAAGAGCCAAACACCCAATCCCAAAAGTTCCATCTTTGGGGTAAAAGTCTAAAGAGTCATTCCCAAAGTAGAACAATCTTGCAGACTTGATAGTAACCTGCCATATAGTTTGAGTCAAAGGAGAACTTCATTGTATCACAAATCTGAGAGGTTAGGGTCTCAAAAGTCTAAATAGGCTTTTTTCTCCTCCTTCTGAATCTCAAACAAATGATCCACTCTCTGCCATGCTTTCTGAAGCAATTAAAGCAGCTATGTTCTATGAAAGACTCACAGCTGCTTCAAAAGGTTTCCCCAGTCATATGGAAATTGCCATTGGAAATGTTGCCTGTGAATGTTTACATACCTGTAGGAAACAGGGGACCCTTTGAAGGAGCTACACAATCATTCTAAAATAGGGGTCGCCAACCTTTTGGACCTCAGGGACCACCAAACTCATAATTTTAGATCCCAGAGAACACTAACCGGTTCTGTGGGCGTGGCCTAATTTGTGGGTGTGGCTTGGTGGTTCATGTGACTGGCTAGGCATGGCTTGTATGTAAATATTATAAATATTGAATAAATATTGAAGTTTTTATAAAAAAAGAGCAACTTTTACCCCAAATCAGGCAAAGCAGGCAGATTGAGTTGCTCACAGATTCATTCAGAGATCTGCCATTGGCTAGCTCAGTCTGTCACATAAAATTTGCTAGCAAGCAAACTCACAAAATTAACTCACAACACACCATTTATGTAAATATTGAATTTTTTATTAAGAAAAGAGCAACTTTTACCCAAAATCAGGCAAAGCAGGCAGGCAGATTGAGTTGCTCACAGAATCATTCAGTGATCTATCTATCTGCAATCAGCTAGCTCAGTCTCTCAAACTTGCCTGCCGTGAGTTTACACGGAATAATAGAACCTTCAGTCCGAAGGGAGGTTCGGCTGTGCTTAAAAGCAGAGCCAAAGAACTAAAGAGAAGCTAGAAGGCAAGAAATCCAACCATTTCCTGCTTTCTAGCTAATCTAAATCTCCCAGCAGAGCAGAACAGATGATGGTCAGAAAAAGGAAAAACAGCAATTTAGCAGGCAAGTTTGCTGTGTAAAGGGTGAGTGGGCGGGGAGGGTTCCTGCGGGCCATGTGAGTGGCGCAGCCTTGTGTTTCTGTGCAGCCTGGATTGATTGCTTTTGGGGGGGGCTCTGGGGGTGAGATTTCTCTGTAGCCCACCAAAATTTTCTCGTGGCCCACCAGTGAGTTGTGGCCCACCAGTTGGCGACCACTGTTCTAAAAGATGTGGCAGATTTAATGCTTCCATTGAGAGTGTTTTGCTCATACCAATTTACGCTGCAAAACAATTTTGTTTTGAATGGGCAAAGCACCACTTTGATAGCTTTGGTTCAACCTTGCCAGCCAAGCTTACATTTCTTAAAGTACTTGGATTTCTTGAGAATATACAACAATTGTTGTCTTCAAATATGATTATAAATTCAAACCAGAATCACCCTCCCCAGTCATTATTTTAAATTACCTGTCAGTTTATGGGTGCAAATTCACTCATATTAGGGTTTTATTAGCATTAAGATGTGTTTAATGTTAAAAATATAATATTAAAAAAATAAAACAAACACATTTTTAAGCGCAAAGTATATATTTATATCAGGTAAAACAAAAAAAAAACAGTGAAAAATGTATTACATAAAAGAAAATAATGTAACAGAATTTACTAAGGTATCTAACATAGGCATGCTCTTACACCTAAAGAAAATATAACATTTATAACTATATATATTTGAGAGTTGTGTTTCAGAGTTCTCTAATAGAAAACATTTTAAAATATAGAAGTTTTTCACCCAAAGGAAAAAGTGTCATTTTAGACAAACGTACAAACCCACCTGTTGTATAAAAAGTCGCTTCCCCCCATGATTACAAGTGAAGTCATTTTAATATGGATTTTCCATATGTGCAAAAGATAGGGTACCATTGATTGCTCTTAACCTTGCATTGCTTGAGCTCCAACACTGATTGGTACATCTGTGAATCCACATGATTTATCGACACAGTATATTTTTTTCAAAGCATGTTGCCAAACATACACAAGAATTCATAAGCTTTCACTGCATTTTGAACATACTGTATTTAAAAAAATATCTAGAAGCCATAAAGTTAGGACAGTAAATCTGTTTAAATATATACACCAGTCAATACAAAATACTACCTATAATACTTTTTGTCTTTGCATTTCAATACCCTAAAAGGAGTAAGCCACTTTGTCAAATGATAGATTTGAATAAAAAAATGTGTAATAGCATCTAGTTTGTTTTTCTTCTGCCAACAGTACAAGTGATTGCTAAGGCACATTTCCCACCTAATAAACAGGCTTAAAGAGTAACTAGAGTTAAGTACTGTACAGAAGGCTTAGTGTTAAGAGAAATTCAGGGAGAGTTTTAGGTAAGTACTTTTGTAGCAGTGCTACTCAAATATAGTTTGAGCTGTGTAGTGTAATGTACAAGAAGGAAAAATTAGGGTGGGGGGAAGTTCCAACTTTAAAGCTATAACCAAGTAAAGCAACCAAAAACTGTTACTGGGTTCAGGAATTCAGAAGTTCCATTTGATATTCAAACGGGGACACATGATTCTCCCATGTATGGAAAAAAAAACAAATGCAAGAATTCTGAATTTCTCACCCTTTCTCCCATTTGGAACACTATTTGAATCAATTTATAGTTAGTTTCAGTTGGCTTTCAAGTATTTCTTGGAAAGGATGGGGAAACAAAAATAAAAATAGAGGAATCTTCTTAATGGGACTGAGAATCTGCTCATATGACCCCCATTCCCATGTTCACTGACTTAAAGGCTGATATGGCATTGCAGAAGAAATATAATTCATTAAGCTGTGGCTTACTGGCATACACAAAACTCAAGGCTGGCAACTGTTAACTTCATCCTCGTGTCAACTAAAAAGAGACACATTGCTGGAACCCAGCATTACACTTCTTGAATTCTCTTCCATGTACCCATGAAATCGTTTCCCAAAAGAGCCAATCTTTTTAGAACAGATTTTGAGGGTGAATAGGTGGTGCCCAAGGGAGAGGGCATTTCCTGCGTCACAACACCTCAGATGGAAATAACTTTTAGCAACTTGAGCAAAGAATTGGACTCCGTATAATTTTTTTTAGCATGTCCTAGTCTGAAAATCATACACGGAATTTCAGGTTTAAACTTTTCTTGATGGTTAATATTATCAACTCTTGCAATAAAGGTAACAAATTAATGGGAATGTTGACAGACCTATAAATCACTTATTGGTGCCAATGCATTTAAAGGAGAGAAAAAAAGACATCATAGCTTATATTTCCACATGGGCACATTTTGTTCATTTAAAATACTCTTTGGAATATCACAATTCCTACAGACATCTTTGAGAATAATCCATTCCTGCTAAAAGTAAAGTTATAGATTTATATATACTCACTCTTCGATTTCAGTGCTAATCACTACAACTAAAATACATGGCCACCTACATGCTCATGTTGCCATCTATCACATATCTTTACAGTCTTCTAAATGTACAATGGACCTATTTTTCAGTATGCTTTTGATACAGTTTAACTTTAGTGTTCCCACTGCTAGTATTGTAAACTCACCTGACAGTGCAGACAGTATCATGAAACTACGTACAGGAAAGCATCATTTTCTTTTCATTGAGGACGCTTGATTCTCAAGTCAACAATTTCATCAAAATTAAAAAGCTCTCCAAATGACAAAAACTGTCCTTTGATTAAAAATTCAGTTTAAGGTTTACTGGGTTCAAAACTCAGGGTAAAAGCCATACAGCTGGCCATTCTTAAATGGCAATGTTAAAAACTTTCAAAACTCCTTCCAGAATATGTGAGACTAATAAGTACATTTAGGTAAAGAATTATGTAAGATGAGGAAGTTTCTTTGAATTCTGGATACAGGGGTGAAACTTAAGCCCATGACTGTTTAATCTAATGAAAACATTCAAAGCTATCTTTTTAAAAGCTGTAAGCAAAACATAGAACTACTTCTACTACTACTATATTATCAGTAGTTAATATACTACTGATATTAACTGGCTATACTAGCTTAGTATAAAAACAATCCATTCAGACTTAAATAAGACTAGGTAAAGTCAGGAAATTTAAATTTCACTATTTAAAAATATTAAAACAAAAACAATCAATAAACACAACAGAACCAGAAAAAGTTCCTTTTCTAATCTACTGCTATAATTAAAAATAAATCTAAAATTTGGAAAACAAGCTACAGAGGCAACAATCACGACCCATGATTTTGTATAAAAGGGCTTTTTTTTTTTTGATGCTGTAAAATGTGAGCAAACTAACCGAGGGAATTAAGAAGCTGCCAGTGGGCACAATCCAACAGCCGCCCTTGGCGTGTGTCCGTTTTGTTCAATATAGATCAAGCAGCATGAAGAACTGTACCCAACACTAAAATGTCTCATGATTTGTGCCCAACAATAAAACATTTTATGCTTTATTTCCAAATTAGTATGGACTCCCTCCACCCTACCTCCTATCAGCTATGCCACTTTTGGCTTGCTGGGCCAATTAAGTTTTTTCTTTCTTTCTTTCTTTTTTGACAACACACAAAAGCTGAAGCTCCACAACATCCTTAGTCAAAGAAAAGGACAAGCAAACAGAAAGCAGGGCAAAAGGAATGGTAGACAGCATCCAGAAATATAGCTGGTCTCTTTCTCTTTCTCTCCCAACTTTCCCATCCTCTCCCTGTCCATTACCACCATGCTGAACAGTAGTTGCAACAGAAAAAAATAAAATAAACCAGAATTCTTCAGAGTCAACGTGAAAGAGGTCAGCGATATAACAGCAGCGATTGGACAAAAAAAAAAAAAAAAAGAACAAAACATTGGATCAACAAAATCTGAAGTATTTTGTTCAGTAAAACATTATCCTCTCTGATCATAAGCCAAGATGCCTTTATGATACAGACTCGTTCTCAACAAAGGTACATGTCTTATCTCCTTAGATCCTTCAAAGATTTCAAATTCCATCACCCTGAGGCCCCTATAACCAGGTAAGAAAGCTTTCTTTATCTAACTTGGTGGCTGCCAGCACAGATTCCATGTCATTAAGGATATCGGAGCTCAAAGCTTCTTGTAGGCTTGGCATCAGTTCCTCTCCTTCTATATTCATTGCATCGCCTTCCAGTGTTCCAAGGTCCACATTAGTCCCCGGAATGGCTTCAAGGTAGTCTGGAAAACGGTTCTGATGGGAGGGGATGGAGCTTTGGTTGATAGTGTCACCTAGATGCACAATAAATGCAAAGCACGGCATTAAGCACATATATTTAAGCGGCTCTAAAACTGGTCACTTGAAGCCACCACCCCCCAACCCTATGGAGCATCAGCAACAACATCTTAATCATGGAGACCCCCTACTGGAGCAACTCCTTTGAAAAACAGAAGGCATCAATTGAGAGCAAGAACAACTGCCAACCCACAGAGATAACTTGCGATAACTTGCAACAACTGTTGCTCAAAGAAGAGAAAATCAAAGCCAGCTTTCTCTTCTGAAACTGCCAGGAGCCCAACAATAAAAAGATCCACCTGCCTTAAAAGGAGGGGTATCAATTTAATATCTCTACTTCTTTTTTCCCCCATCCCTTTCTTTTAGCATGTTGTTGTTTAGATTGCAAAACGGGAATTGTTTTATGACTGATCTTGTAGGACACTTTGGAAGTCTTTTAAAAATTAAGGTTAAAAATAAAAAAAATAATAAAAATAATTTTATAAGTAATATAAAAGGATTAAATAAACAACAATATAAGTTCCATGATTGCAGTCAGAATAATTTTCAATAGTGTTTGTTATCAATGGGACAGGAAATATGGAACCTTAAAGACTGAAACCACAGGGACAGGCTGCAGAACTTGCAGCAGTAAATTAGGAAATGGTTCAGATTTGCAAAAAATATCCAAAAATATCCAGCCCATTTTAAACAAAAGACGTCATCACGAACTTTCTAGATTCATATTTGAGCATGTCACAGAAGAAGATATACTATAAATCTGTTGTCAAAATCACTATAAATCCAAACCATTTTTTTACTCTTTACAAATGATAAGGTTCGGGTAGAACGCTGTGAGACACATAGTTGAATTCCTTGTTCTCTGAGGAAAATCAAGTCAAATGTACCTTTCCTGACAATTCCACTAGCTCAGTAACATCTCTACTGCAGCCAACTCCTCCATCTTACTGCTAGTAAAAACAAGATATAGGAGCATCAGTCAGACAGCAATTGGAAGGAAATGAGCCTCACCTGTATCCATTTCATCAACACTATTAAGAAAGTCATCTGGAGTTCTGGGAACACTGTAACTGCTCATGCTGAGGCCACTGTCTGTGCTCTCATCTCTGGAGTGGTATGTCCCACTGCAAGGGAAATGTTATGTTAATTTAAGTTACTGATGGAAAGAACAGACAGCATTTATCATCAAAAGGGCTCATTTTCACAGTCAGGGTTGAATTATGTTCTCCTTGTAAAATTACACATTAAAAAAAAGTCTGTGAAGGAGAATTCTTTAAACATTCAATTCTGAAGGTCTCAATTCCCACAATGCAGCATAGCTGAACATGTGGCATGTTCCCAGCACATTTCGTCCACAACCTTGACTAATCTTTGCTGCCACCACATAACTTCTCAAGTGCTATGATGCTGCAATCTTCTAAAATGGTAACTACGTCTGTGTGACTCTCAATAAAAATTAATAAATTCACAGGAGTTAATAATAACAGATCTCCACTAGGGCAACATTTTTTCAAAGAAAGTTGGCAATGCCTTCTAATTTGCTCATGTGTTCTTGAGAGTTCTAATCTAGATATGTTTCTAATTTGCATTTGCTGTCTGTAACCTAGTTCAAGTCTATACTGAAGCAGTATAGAATTTGCATAAATAAAACTGAAATTTAGTTTACACACTATTATGCTACCGACTGCCCCACTGCAAAACTGTATAGGTAGTCCTCGATTTACAGAAGTTCATTTAGCGATGGTTCAAAGTTACAATGGCACTGAAAAAGCTACTTATGATCTTGTTTCACACTTCCAACTGTTGCAGGATCCCGTGGTCATGTGATCAAAATTCAGATGCTTAGCAACCTGTTCAATATTTATAATGGTTGCAGTGTCCTGGGATCACATGATCCCCTTTTGTGACCTTCTGACAAGCAAAGTGTATGGGGAAGGCAGATTCACTTAACAAGCAAGCTGAGATGTGGTGGCGCCGTGGCTAGAATGCAGTACTGCAGGCTACTTCTGCTGATTGCTGGCTACCTGCAATTTGGCAGTTCGAATCTCACCAGGCTCAAAGTTGACTCAGCCTTCCATCCTTCCAAGGTCGGTAAAATGAGGATCCAGATTGTTGGGAGCAAAAGGCTGGCTCTATAAACTGCTTAGAGAGGGCTGTAAAAGCACTGTGAAGCAGTATGTAAGTCTAAGTGCTATTGCTACTAAACAACTGCAAGAAAGATTGTAAAACAAGGCAAAATTCACTTAACAAATGTCTTGCTTAGCAACAGAAATTTTGGGCTCATTTATGGTTATAAGTCAAGAACTATCTGTATTAAAAATGCACTTGTGCCACAATGGCTGACAACTTAACTATAATATACACAGACATATAACCAAGGGCTCCAGATATATTCAGAGTTTAGTTATGGTGGTTACTATCCTTGAAGTTAGAATTTTGTAGGATTGCCACTGAGAAAATTCTGAAAATAATATTTATATGATAGTAGGGCAAGGAGGAAAGCCCTTGAGAAATGACAAATTTCATTAAAACGTAGTAATTTTCTTATGTTGATTGACTTATGTTTGAAAAATACACACAAGTCCTCAAATGAAACAATATCCAAGGAACTAACAATGACCAGCATTTCTTTTCAGTTGTTTGTGTGCATGGATGTCCCATTTTTAACCTTATCTATTCAATAATAAGGACTAGAAGCATTAAACACATGACCCCGTTAACTATTAACCAGAGGCTGCATAAATTAATACCAGAAAAAAATACCCTGCTTGCCTTGTAATATGATCTGCTGAATCCTATCACCATTTCCTGTGTGTCAGTGCTGTAAAGAATAAAATTAAAACCAGGAATACTGCAAGCTCCTTTAAGAAAGCCCCACAGCAAGTTCACTCCTAGCTTTTGAAAACATTTTCTGAGTCAGTAGTTTTAAATGGTTGTGCATCAATTGACTTGTGCTTGGGAGAACATGTTATGACTTTGAAGACAAATCTTTTCTACAAGTCTGAACAGTTGATTTTCAGAGATCTTAATCTTCCGCATTTTGGGGGGAAGGTGGGGTGGAAACGTGAGAGTGAACTGGATTTGCCCTCTAAGAAAAGATCCTTTTTCAGATGTGGTTCTTAGAAGAGACCAAAGTCCCAAGCAGAGGATTACAGAAACCAAACAGAATTTGAAAAATTGTTAGCTTTGGTGAAATGAAATCACTCATAGCTACTGCCACTAACCTGTTAAGAAAGGGATCTGAGCTATTTGTGGTCATTGTTCTGAGTTCTTGAGACATTCCGGGAGAGGATACTCGATTCTGGGTGCCATCTTGTTCCATACTGGGAAGCTGACTACGGAGAGCCAATTCCTGCCAATTAAGAAATGACTGTATTCATAACTCACATTCAAAGTTCAATGCTCAGTTGCAACATTGGAGGAAGATACTATTTGTTTGGTGCTAAGCTATGTAATTTCAAAAGTTAGCACAAGTCTCTCACCAGTTAGCAGTAATTGCTAGGTAGTCATGGCATGTTATATGTTACCTCCAACATCAGTCACATAGGTACACCCCCAAATATCAGCTGTTGGGGAAATTAAGTGGGAAAGTACTAATGTAAAGTACTAATGTAAAGTACTCATCTCCTACTTCTACACTTCCCAAAAGGCATTTGCTTGGCAGATGTGAGGACAGAATGATGACCTAAGTAAGTCTTTGATCAGAGCCAGCAGAACTCATAGTCTTATTATTCCATCTCATCCATTTACTTCACTTTCTTATCATCTGGATGGCTTTTTTTGTACATATACACTCCTTTATCAATGTACAAAGAAAAATAATTTGAGAAACAACTTAAACGGTGGAGCTGGAGAAAAAATAAATAAATCAAGGCACCTGCAGGGAAAAGAACCTGAGACTTAAGAGGAGGGATAGGCAAAGACAACATGAACACTAATGACACAGGAGATACTTCAAGTTCTTATGAAGTTTAAAAGGGATTTGCTTTGCTAGTTTAAGAGATGGGAAGGGCCTTGAAAGTTTGCCAAAGTTCTGCCACCAGAAACATAGGAAGTTACCCGTTGGTGTCAGCAGCTTTAGAAATGGGGACATGAACCAACAGGTTTAATGGGGATTATGAGACGCCGTCCTTCAATGGCTCCTCAAATATTACTCACCTTCATTCTTAATAAATGTTAACATGGCTTTTAACTTACACAATACCAAGAAGGAGAAAGAAATTCATAACTGCCCACTATTTTCAACAAGGTCCTCATTAATATTTTCAGAGTAAAAGACAACACTGGATAGAAACAACACATGTGCACCCTTCTGTTTTAAATGCAGCTGAATAAAAAAAACACTGTAATATTATTTCTTAATCATGAAATTAACATACAGTATATAATCCAACGCAAGGCTTTGAAACTTGATATTTCAATTCATAAATCGAAAGGACACTGAAAGGATTCAGATTTCAGTTAATGTTTGTATACGAAGTCTGGAAAAGATCTGCCTGGTAATTATTATTTCCTCATTACTTAAAAAAACCAAAACAAAGTCAGACATTTCTAATTGGCATTAAGAAAATTAAGATTTAACACATTTTTTTACATAATTTTTAACACTGGATTTCATAAACCAAGCTAAAACAATTCATCAAATCCATAGAGAAGCTAGTCAAGATGAATTTAGACTTTTGAATATTGTCCAACTGTACTTTAAATGCTATTTTTGAGTCAGAAATTCATTTTTTTCTAATTTTGAAATATGTAATAACATTCTTTTAACATTTTCTGTCCTTGAAATGTGAACATCTTATATTTTATAATGATGTTTTATAGGATCAAATCATTTTTTTTAAAAAAAAATCAGTTATAAAGTATATGCTAGTAATGTATTACTTTCCATAAATGTAAAATGTGTCATGAGAGTTCAGATTCTGATACCATGGACAATAACGACATCATTGTACTGGCACAACATTATTTATTTGGGATGTATTTTCTGGAATATAAAAAAGTTGCAGATTAAAATCAAGTTCTATGTGGAAAAAAAGGAGTACTGGCAAAAGAGAAATCTCCATAAATTAAAAGTAGCTTTAAAAAAAAAAGAGGCTTAGAGCTGGTACAGGTAGTCCTCGATTTACAACCACAATTGAGCCCCAAAATTATATTGTTAAGTGAGAAATTTGTTAAGTGAGTTTGGTCCATTTTACAACTTCTCTCACCACATTTGTTAAATGCATCATTGCGGTTCTTAAATTAGTAGCACAGTTGTTAAGTGAATCTGGTTTCCCCACTGATTTTGCTTGTCAAAAGATTCTGGACACTGCAACTGTCATAAATGTGAGTCAGTTGTCAAGCATCTGAATGTAAATCATGTGGCCATGGGAATGCTACAATGGTCATGTGAAAAACAGTTGTAAGTCACTTTTTTTCAGTGTTGTAACTTCAAACGATCACTAAATGAACTGTTGTAAGTCAAGGACTACCTGTAATAGTTTACCAGATAAGGAATCCAAATTAAAACTGAAATAAAAATAAAAAATAAAATAAAATAATAATAATAATTATTATTATTATTATTATTATGGTGCAACACTGTTTCTCAGTACCTGAAGTCCCGGCTCTTCCCTCAGCCAGGATATTATGTGAGCTGCCAGAAAGTTTCAATGTTTTTTGTGAATTATTGTGCATTCTACTGATTTGTTGGCTTATTCTGATTTTTTTTTTTTGGCGTTGTTAGTTGCCCATAGTTGCTTGGTAAGTAGGTGTCTATGTCTATTGAATAAAACATACACACACACTAAAGTTCTAAACTACCATGGATATGTTTCCATTTTTATAATTTTCACTTTTTTATTTCAAAGTAGATCTTAATATTAGCAATCCGAAGCAAGTGAGTATAAAGGACAGAGTCACCAAATACGAATGGAATCTTTCAAATGACTTTAAACAGAACTATGGCTCATAGTTTCCACAGGCTAAAGAATATTTAGATTCAAGCCAAAATAAATCTATTAGGCTATTGGCCCCTTTATTTTTAGAGGCTTTTCTAGACATTGACACCAATCTAGTCTTGGTGTTCCAGAGGCCCGAAAGTGACCAAACAGGTGTCGCATAGACAAAGATGAATTTCAGGATCTGATTGCATATGAACATGGTAAAAATGATTAAGGGTGGAGTTGAGGAAAGCAACATGGATACAATGACAAAAACAGGCTTATGTAGTAGAATCAAAAGGATACACAGGACTGCAATCCTCAAATGGCTGTTCAATTCGTGCAGTTTTGAGGTATTGCTGTGACTCATTAATCTAAGTTATTTTTAACCAAAAGAACCTGTGATCTCACATAAATCTGCAGCCTTGACGTTACTATTTCTACAAGTAAGCAATTCCCAGGATTAGAAAGAAGTTACCGTATTTTTCTCACTATAAGACGCACCTTGGTTTAGAGGAGGAAAACAAGAAAAATATAGGGTTTTCTTTGCCTCCACGTGTCCAGTTTTTACTTTCCCTGGCATCCAGAAGCATTCTGCTGGCCAAAAGCGGGCCTGTTTTTGGCCTCCCAAAGCCTCTGTGAGTTGTTTTTGCCCTCCCTGGTGTCCAGAAGCACTCTGCAGGTCAAAAACGCACTCATTTTTGGCCTCCCATAGCCTCCATGTGTCCCGTTATTCAGCCTCCCCGGCATCCAGAACCACTCTACAGGCCAAAAACGTGCCTGTTTTTTGAGGAGGGCAAAAACAGGACCTGCAATAGCCTCTGGAAGCCAAAAACAGGTGCGTTTTTGGCCTGCAGAGTGCTTCTAGATGCCCAGGAGGGCAAAAACGGGATGCACAGAGGCTTTGGGAGATCAAAAATGGGCTCGTATTCACTATAAGATGCATAGAAATGTCCACCTATTTTTTTTTTTTGGGGGGGGGAGTGCATCTTCCATTTGGAAAAATACGGTAATTGCTGCATATTGTCAGAACCAACTTTCTCTACAATTATTTCATTGCTGAACTTTTCACTAAATTATATGCTGAAACAGTCACATTATTGCTTCTAACATGCTAAAAAGAACACTTTCTCAATGTTATGAATAACCATAAAGGAATCTTGCCCTAAAATAGGAGTTTATGTAATCCATCTTCATATTTTGGACAGCAAAAAAAAATAAGAACACAAAATAAAAAAAATAATTTCAGATTAAGATTGTAGTCCTCTGAATCCAAGGTGACTAAGACACTGCTGGCTTCTACCAATTTAATATTACATATTTAAATAAATAGTCAAGAATCCTACTTTAAACTTTCAGAAGTTTATCCAGAATTAGAGAGTATGAACAAAAATAACCAATGGTTCAAGCAGGAAAATATAACAATTAAGATTACAGAGATTATTGTTCATTCTTTTGCTTAAAAGCCAGCACCATTTATGAGCAACAATTTGAAGGCTGTATTTAATTAGGTGGGGGGGAGGTAAAATATTCAAATCAAACTCCATTACTGGTGATTTGATGGTCCATGTAGTTTTCTTGGCAGCAACACAGAATGGTTTTGCCAGAGCCATTTTCTGATATAATCTCAGTTCCAGAGCCTTACCTATAATCCTGCAGTTTCTTGATCCTATGTCCAATTACTAAGTAAATGTAATTCAGTTAGCTTTTTGAAATCAGACAAGATCAGGCATATGCTATCTCCTAATCACATTACAGTATTTCCTGAGTCCAACATTTATCCTACTCACATTGATTTTGAGGTAACATGAGACATCAATAATATCTACCCCGGGACTTACATTTCACCATCTGTAGATGTTTAATTGGACCAATCATCTTGTATGAAGCTACAACAGGAGTTTTTTTTTCATACCTTCTTGTTTACTTTTTAAAATCTGTTTAAATCAGGATTCTGTATGGCCTGCTGTAATACTTCTATAACCAACTCTTCCGTATTCAGTTACAATGCTTAGTATCCAAGCAATCCTTCCCATTAGTCCTCCCACAGTCAATACATAGCACTGCAATGTGGAATTAGTAGTATGTGCTTTTGAGGTCTGGCAAAACACTGAGCCACACTGGAGAAGATGGAACATCACAAACAGACTTATGATCATACGCACTTTTATTAAAAACATTAATACACATTTTGCCAGGAAATTCAACACAGATGAGCTCAGTCTGACACCGAAATCTTGAGAGCACACAGCCTCACTGTTCACAACAGCATAGAGTTGTGAACGTGATGAATTTAACAAGCAGGGGTTTAGATCTTTGGTGCATGAAATAATTCTAGTACTATGTGGTTTTAACTACATATAAATTGAGCTTAATTTGTTGGTCTCATTAGGAGAACAGTGCAAATTAGCACTGTTTTCCCCAAATGGTATTTAAAAATAAATCCAACAACATTGCAAAGACATCCAACCAGTTACTTATCTGCAACTCTCTCAGCTATTTCAAACAATTTAAGATCAAGGCAAATCAGCTATTTAATATAACTGCCATACCCAGAAAAGCCTTACACTAACTAATATGATGTCCTTTGCAGACTGTACTCTCTGTGGTCATTTTAGACTGCATTTTTAAATAATCTTCCAGGTTTATAAGCCTGTATCTATCAAGACAGTACATTATTTCCATTCATTCTTCTTTCTGACTTCTTCAGAAAATATTTATTAAAAATTGTCAATTTGTATTCTTAAGACTTTAAGTTAACCACATTTTCTTTCTCTATAGCTGAGTTGCTGAAGCCACTGCATGAATGCTAAAGCCATTCTGATGAATCTGTTTAAACATTTGTATTCAATTATTTATTATTAGGAATTCTAGAATAGGAAGCAGTAATTTATGTACTGTTCACTTCGGGAATCCAAATTAAAGTGTCCCTGATGAATGGCTGTGCCTAGTCTCTTTTTCAACACATCTTCTAGTTAACTAGTTCCACTTCTGAAGTTTTTCTTTTTCCAACTTATTGAGATAGAAATAAAAGTCTAACTTATAGACTTAAAACTTGTATTTTAGAGCAGAGTTTTGAAACAATGACTTTGAATCATTTGGGAAGGTTGCAAGCAACTTAAGGGCAAAGGGGTTGCTGTTTTCAAAATCTGATTACTTTGGTCTAGGCAAATGACAGGAGGTTTTGATAGAACCCTCAATTTGCCTACAGCTTTCAAAGCTTGCTCTGGATTTCTGGGCTCTGCTTGTGCAAACCTTAGTGGGCGCCTTGAAAATCACTGTGATATAGAGTTTAAGATCTAAAATAGATGGCTCACACCTTTCCTCTTTTTTGGAGAACCTCTTACAATCTGGCAGTGATGAGGGAAAGCTTCCTATATGCTGGATGTTGTTGCTGTTCCTCAGGCTGCTACTTCTTCATCTTGTTGGTAATGATTGCTGCTATTTTAATATTGCATACTCTCACTGTGTAACCATTGATGTAAACTACTTTGATCCTTGCTGGACTAAGTGGGTGTATAACGTGTGGTAAATAAACATAATTTTTAAAAATAGGTAGCTAACATTTATTTTTCGCAGCTGCTATCTCTATGGAAATCATTAGTTTCACTCATGGGCAAAACACTATTATGAGAACCTTTGTTCTAAGCTGTTAACTATCCCACCCAATTTTTGGTATATGCAGATTTGATTGTTATTCTCCCCTGATTTTCATCCAAGATATTAATATAAAAGCTGTATAGGATCCAGAATTTTTTATGTGATCCAGAATCTTTTGACATCCTACTAAATACTTCATTGAATTTAATGAAAAACCACTAATAAGACATTGTAAATATGGCTGTACATCCAAGTCATGTATTAAAATGCAAATTATTTAGCTATTTCAACTTATGTATGGTGTGCAGAAAAATAAAACATCTCTAATAAACAAAAAAAGTACAGTCCATATACTGATTAAACGAAGTTGGTTACTGGGATGTCTGTAAAAATTAAAATAGCACCATTGCATTAATTTTGCCAATTTCTAAACACAGGGCACAGGAATAATATGATAAACACAAAACCCAATCTGATACCAGGAATAAGTACTTATTTTCAACCAAGATAACCAGGCTTTAATTTTGCCTTGGCCATAATTGAAATCAGTTGACTTTTGATAAATCTTAATGCTATAATTGAGCTTCTAAGAAAAAAAAAACTGTGAGACTCCCACAAATGTGACAGATGGAATGAAACTGTATGTCACTATTTTCCTTACCCCAAAATATTTCCCAACAAAATGCTGTAGCAAAATTCTTCCATATAGAGGTCCATTCCTAATATAGCCCAGTATAAGATTTAGTGTTATTATTCAGCTCCTCAACTGGCAAAATTTGAAACACTATATCACAGGGTGGCCTTTACAAGATTTCCCTGAGGTAATATTTAAATGTGACATATTTATTTGCGCAGCAGATCTGAAAATAAGAATTGGCAGTTAATATAATTTTTAAATCTTTATAAAATATTCAGCAGACTTGATAATTTCAATTTTAGGCCTAAAATTGAAGCAACATAAGATTGACTGCCAAGTTAAAAAAAAACAAAAAACAGTTGAGGCAACTTCGCTCCTTAAAACTGAAATAGAGTCTTTAGCTTTATAAGCCAGTTTTGGAAATTCAAAGTTACACAAGTCTAAGAGAGAACTAGAAAAGTAAGTATCTTTCGATCCCCGAAACCAGCAATTGACAAAATACGACCATACCATCTTGAAGTTGTTTGTGGGCATATGTGTTGGAGAAGTGGGGAGACAGAGCAAGTGAAGGTATCTGTTATGAAACCACCAATTATTTATTAAACATATCAAAAGCAAGCTTATGAGATACACATAGCTGCTTTTTAGGCATGCCAGGGTATTAAAATACAAATGAAACCCAAGCACCTTGCACAGCTGATCTAAGTCAAAAGAAAATGTTTCTTATTTTGCTGAAACATTTGTTATGAGCCTACCTGACGTTTTGGAGCATTTGCTGTGCTGGGATTGATATTCCGCAATGCCTAAGAGTAAAAGAAACAAGATGGGTCATTACTTTTTTGTCTCTTACGACAGGGATGGCTACGCTACCTTGACTTTACTCATCATCTTCTTAATGTTCTCAAGAGGGATGTTCCTAAAGCAACCACAGATGTCAAGGGATAAGGTGGTTAAGAGATGGCAAAGTTTTCTGCATAATGGAATAAGACGCTTAGGAGTGCTTACAGAGCACGTGAACATATTTTGCTTAGACATACAGGGGACAAAAAGAAGTAGTCTGGGCATTGCCTGGCCTGAAGTTAGTTATCTTCTGGAGAAGAAGATATTGAAGAAAAGAAATCCCAAATTAGAAGCCTTTTCTAAAAACATGCTGGCCTGGCGGCATTTGAATTTGTTTTGATATTAATAGCAAAGCAGTTATAGGCAAAGTTCAGAAAATTCAGCTTAGGAAGCTGTTATTTTTAACTTGTCCAGAGGCAACTCATGATTTTTTTTTTTAAAAAGGAGACATCCCATAACAATCCAGTTTAAATGGAGTATTTATTCCTTTAAATATTATTTTACTATAAAGTCTAACTGCCTCTAGAACAAGGGCAGGAAAAGCAAGGAATGACGAAGGCAAAAGCCTGAAGAAGTGATCTCCAAGAATAGGAAAATACTGCCTGATGCAAGAACCACCACCCAAAAAGCAAGGAAAAAGAGGTTTTAAAAAGATTCTCCAAAAGCAGTTAGGGAATCTGCAATGCTCCACAACCCTTACAAAACATGATGCACAGCACTGAAGACAAGGAGCTAATCAATCATTAGCAAAAGATCTAGGACAGTAAGCAATGACTGAGAGCAAAGGTTTTAGAAAGTAAGCTTCATTGTTTCTTTGGGCTCATGCCTCCAGGGTTACCAAAAAAAAAAAAGCAAGAGCAACAAATCAGTTTACATTTAAGCGTTTAAGAAAAGTATTTTGGTTTAAAAGAACAAAATTTAAACTGAAGTAAAAGACCTGGGTTAATCAGTTTTAAAGTTCTCTTCTGAGAATTACTAATGTTACTGCAAACCACATAAACATTACCTAACATGGATGAATTTCCCCCCTTTAATTTTCTCTCTTATGAAGCAGACAGAGAAGCCGTTCATAATGAACTATGTAATTATCACATTGACTGCAAGAATCCACATCCATGGAAGAGGGCTCGGTAAAGTACTATGATGATAAGTTTCCTAAAATTCATTACTTTATGGAATTCACTTCCATAAGATCTGTTGAACAGAAACAGGCTTAGATGACTTTTTAAAAAAGGTTTGGGTATATGCGGAGCATGGATTCTTTAAGGACTTTTAAATTACGGTACCTAAAGAGATAAATAGTTTTATATTTGAGTTCTAGATGCTTGAGATAGGTAACAGGGCCAATATCTTTAGGCCTTGCTTGTCCACTTCCAAACTCCCCTGCTGACTACTGACGGAAAATGGAACAATGCATCACGTCCTTAGAAACAAGGAACAGCTTTGTTTTTTTACAGAGGCCAAAGTTTCAATACTCTTCACAAATACAGCAAGACCAGATCCAATTCACGCATGCCATCCATCATGAAAGCTGGAAAATTCAGTCAGATGAGCTCTGACCGTGCAGAGCATTAATACAGTTGCAGAGCTACTCAGCAAGTTGTCCAGGAAGCAGAGTTATCAGCAATGAAAAGAGCACCATGCCAGAAACAGCCCAGCACCACAAACAGTCGCAAAGAAATATTTCAAAAGGATCAAAGTGTCTGAATTGTTGCTTGCTGGGACAAGTTATACAATTTGCGATTCCCTCTATCTACTGATGCTTACTAGAATTGCAGTGCTGAAAAGCACAATGCCACTCATGCATATGCAACAAGTTATATCGTATTATAGTTGAAGTTGTTTTTTCTAACCTGTGGCCTCACCTGCCGAAGCAGTTCTTGATGCTTCTGTCGCAACCTTTCTTTTTCCATCTGCAGCTGCTGCAGTCTTATCTGTTGCTGTTGATTGGAAGTGCCACCTCCCAGGACTCCACCCGGAGGACTTTGGGAGGCCAATGGTGGTGGCTGTTTCACTGGAGCGCTTTGGCTGATTCTCTGGTTCATAGCTGTAGAAGCAAACAGAAGAGCAGACACTGTAAAGTAGTCTTATCCCCCAAAATCCAAATGTTTTGGAATATACATGCCTTAATGCAGGGGCGCCCAACCCCCGGGCTGTAAACCAGCACAGCATGCCAGAAACAGGGCTGGCCAAACAAGCTAAGTTCCAATCACAGAAAAACCTTTCTCCACAGAACCGGTACCTAGACCCAAAAAAGTAGGGGGCAGCTGCCTTAATGGATATAATAAAGGGAGAATTAGGGCCAAATATAAGTTTCCCAACATTAACGGACATTGAGAACAGGAAGTGAGAAGTCAGAAAGGAAATAGAATAAGAATTGCCATTTGCAAGTAAAAATACATCTTGTTTATTATTTTTAACGCTAGAGTACAGTGAGATGGGTAGCAAATACAGGTAGCAAATACATGCCATCCATCATTTACAGTTCGTTTAGTGACCATTCAGTTTCAACAGCACTGAAAAAATGACTTATGACTGTTTTTCACACTTATGACCATTGCAGCATCCCCATGGTCACGTGACCAAAATCCAGGTGCTGGACAATAAACTCATGTTTATGACCGTTGCAGTGTTCTTGGACGGAGTCAAATATCTTTTGAAACCTGACAAGCAAAGGCAACTGGGAAGCCAAATTCACGTAACAACTGTGTTGTGGTCGTAAAATGGAGCAAGACTTACTTAACAAATGTCTCACTTAACAACAGAAATCTTGGGCTCAATATATGGTCATAAGTTGAGGACTGCCTGTAAATTTAACAAATCAATAATGCTAACATGAGATGGAAATAGGCAAATTTATGTTTTGAGTTCACCAACACACATCTTAAGTTTAAATCTGAAGGGATAATAATGTTAAAAATCTCACAGGCTGCAGAGGAAAATCTAGATGAGTAGGGAAAGGAAAGTTGTCTTGTTAATACTTCTAATAAAGGCCATCCAGATGGGTCTGTCTGTCTGTCTGTCTGTCACTCTTTCTCTCTGTCTCTCTTGGAATTTCAAAGAGATTGCCAATACTGCACAAAGATAAATCCTGGAGACAGTTTAAAATTGAAATCATAGTATCAGTATATATGTACAAAATTCAGTTTATGTATCAAAGGAAGTCCTCAGAACACGTCTATAATATATGCAGGCATTATGTGATTAGTATTTAGTAATACCCTTATTATTTCCAATATTATTTCAAGCAGAACAACATGGCTTAATGAAAGGATGAATTAAACTGAATTCAAAATAGCAACTGAGAAGAAAAAACACAGGTCAGAAACTCCACAAACTTGATTTATAGCCAGCCTTCTCAAAATCTATTTAAATTATCCAAGCAGTTGGGCAAAGTAGCTGTATTCCAATTACATGTTTTAGTCAGCTGGGTTTATCCTAGATCATAGAAATAAAATACATTTTAAGATAAATATAGGCTCATGTAGTAAATGTGCGAGTTTCCATTTCGGTTGTAAACTGACAACCCAACCAGTTCTACTGGGTTATAAATCAAAATGAGGCTTTTTAAAAATAGGCATGTGACAATAAGAACCAAACATTTTTCAATCTCTCAACTGATTCTAAGCCAGGTCTAAGATATACAATGATTAACATTTATGAGCACAGTGTCTCTAATAACATATCTGATAAAGAGAAATAAAGACACAAAACTATTTCTCAGCCTCTGCATTCTATCTCTATAATAGGAGACTTCAAGGACCATCTTGCCTTTAATAGAAAAGGCAAATAAATAAATAAATAAGCAAGCAAACATTAAAAAAACATTGACAAATATCTTTGAGCAGTGAAGATGAACGCTACAACTTTCAATCCATGAGTGAAATAGAAAAATAACACAAAAGACTTTTATCTAATAAAATGTATTTTAAAGAGATTGTTAACATTATTTTAAAACATCATTAACAGGACATAATAATTCTGTTGAAGAAGGAAGGAGTGGCTGTAATTCTGTTGAAGAACGAAGGAGTCTAGAAAAACTGTACAAATTAAGTTTCAACCGTGCAAATCTCCAATAGGGGATTCTTTTTGTTGTATAGCTTCAATGCCTCTTTAGCGGCTCAAAACATAACTGCTTTTCAAATGGTGCCTAAATTGAGGAAAAGGAAAAAAATAAATATGTAGTCCTTTATCTACTAGAGTTTGGATTTATCTGTTTCCTGTTCTTTCTTTTCTTGGGTAGCAGAGAAGTATTTAAATATGGGGTTCTACACCCACACGAGACAAGTAGCAAAGACCTCACAGGCAGACAAGAAGAAAATAAGTCTTTGTTTCACAGAGGGATTTAGGAGGAAAAGGGATTTGGAAGAAGTGAAGCAGGGAACAAGTTAATAATGCACTGTTTACCTATCTTAGTTTCACGAAACCACCATGCCTTTTAACAAGGATAATTTTAGGAAAATATGCTGCCTGGTCACCTTCTTGATGCTCTAATGCAGCACATTATCCAGTTATCCTTCTGAAATTACTAAAATCCAGTTTATTATACATACCTGACTCATTCTGTCTAAAAGGCAACTGTGCAGTACTCCTTTAAAAAAAAATCTGAACATAAAAACCCTGGAAATTCTTAACTACCCGTAAATACAAAGAACTAAATCATAAACAAGTATATCCATGTTTCTTTAGAACTAAATCCAACTATTTTCAAAGGGCATTACACTCTGGTTAAGTTGTAGGTAGGATTTAATGCTATATCTATTTAAAAATAAAGAACTGAAAAGGCCCTTTATTTGAACATTCACATTTTATACAGCATGGGCAAACTTTAAAGGCACATGTCTCAATAGAAAAATGGAACACTATGCTGGCTTTAGATACTCAATGCGATTTTCTCCAGGATTCCCATGTCCATATAGATGGAGGGAGACAGATGGAGGGAGTGGTACCAGTTGAATACATTCTTATAAGTACTTATGACCATATACACCTACAGCAAGGAAAAACAAGGTATTTCTTCATGTTAGTCATTTGATATAACACAAAGCAAAAGTGGGCAGATCTTACTTCTATTTAAGAGTATCCCTACCTGCATAAGTGAATTAAAAACTGGTTCCCTGTTAGCCTTCAGTGAGAAAGTTTAATATAATGTATCACTAAGCTGTTTGACTTTCCAGTAACAGTTCCACAGAGGAGTTGTGGCTTTTGAATAGGGCTAATAGACACCTAGAGTACTGCTGGAGGAAAATGATTGAAGGACTCTGATTGGACATGACTCAGAGCTGCCATTAAGACCCATCTTGTGACAGTTATGAGCGGTAAAACATTATTATTTCTCTGTCCCTTATTGCGTCCGCAGAGTGTCACCTGGTGGCTCTGTTCAGGATTGCTTGGTGCGTCCTGGGATGGGGAGTTAGGTTTCAGATAATCATCTTCGTGGTTGCACAGAGGGTTTTGTTCCATACCTGATGGATAAAATCACTCAGATTTGTTCCCAGTTGGAACACGTGTCTGATAGTCCATGTGAAATGTCTGGGGAAAGGTCTTACCTAGTCACCTGGGAGCAGTTCGATCATGCTGGACTCGATGAAGTGGGCAGGGTCCCTGATGCTGTCAGTCCAACCATCTGTCAGTTAGATCTTTATCCCTCCTGGTTGGTGACAGCTTCCAGATGACCACCAGGTGGCTTAGGGAGTAATTAATTCCTCACTGCAGGAAGGGACATTTCTGGCTTTGGTTTGCCCCCTTCTAAAAAAAACATCTCTTGACTCCCATCTGCCTGGACAGTTTTTGTCCAGTTTGCAACTTTCCCTTTTTAAGGAAGGTGGTGGTGGTGCTTGAAAAGGACACTGGATGAAATGGATTATCCAGAGCTTTTCCAGTCAAGATTCAGGCCTGGTTATAGGGCAGAAACAGTTGGTTCCATTTGCTTATGATCTCTGGTAAGAGCAGAATGGGGGTGGTACCAACATCCTTACTCAACCTCTCAGCAGCCTTCGATACCACTGATCATGGTATCTTTTTAGTCTCATTGTTTGAGGTTGGGAAGTGCAGTTTTGCACTGGTCTGGCTCTTTTCTTCAAGGCTGGCCCCAAGTGTTGCTGATAGGGAGTGAGAGATCCAATCCATTTGGGGTCCTTGTGGTGTGCCACAGTGCTCAGTATTGGTACTCTCCTCTCCATTCTTCTTTAGCTTCTACATGAAGCCACTGGGTGAAGTCATATATCACCATAGGATGAAGTGGATGGTACCGAACTCTTTATGGTGACCCAAGGGATGTTGTCTTTGCCTTCTTGCAGTGGCTGGAGGCTATGAGGGTCAGGATGGGGCACAACAGTCTGACTAAACTCTGGCAAGACCAAGTGGCTTTGGGTACATGGAGCTTTGAGATCCAGAAGTTTTGCATCTCTAATTCTGGATGGGGTTGCACTACCTCAGATAGACCTGGTGCGCAACTTGGGGTTCTCCTGGGATTCATGACTTCTGCTCAAAGAGCAGTTGTCAGTTCTGGCTAGAAGAACCTTTGCACAACTCTATGTTGTATACCAGTTGCATCCTTTCTTGGATTGGGAGTCCCTGCGTTTAGTCATTCAAGCCCTGATCATCTCACAATGCTCTCTACACAGGGATACTCTGGGAAGAGTATTTGGAAACTACACTTAGTGCAGAATATGGCGATGTAGGCAGTTCTTGAGGGCCCTAGAGTGGCCCATGTTATACCAATGTTCTGTGAGCAGCATTGGCTGCTTCCGGGTGCAATTTATTATGTTGGTTATCACCAGTGAAACCCTTCCTGGTAGGGGTCAATTTTTCTTCAGATCCTGAGATTTTATTAAACATGCTCATGATTTCAGAATCTCTATACCATTAAAGCCAGCCAATCAATCAATCAATCAATCAATCAATCAATAAATAAATATACATACATATACATATACATATACATATATATATATATTAAAGTGGTTCAATCAAGTTATACAGTGTAAGTAACTTATTTTTTAAAATTCTCAGTATTCTTAAAATATGATCATAAACCTTTTCAGG